GTGACCCCATTTGGGGTTTTCTTGGCAGAGATACTGGAATGGTTTCCCATTTCCTTCTCCAGCTTATTTGACAGATGAGGAAACTGAGGCAAACAGAGTTAAGTGACTTGCCCAGGGTCACACAGCTAGTAAGTGTCTGAGGGCAGATTTGAACTCAGGTCTTCCTGACTCCAGGCCTAGCAATATTCTTTAAGGCCTGAGCCCTCATTAGCCAGTCTCCCTCCACACACTGTCATCCAGCATAAATGGTCTACATACTTCCTCTTCATCCATGATATTCTATCTCCCATCTCTGTCTTTTCACTAATACAACGTCTTCATCCCCTTGACCACCACCCCTTTGCTTCCCTGTTGTCCTTCAGTACTCCCCTCAAATCCTGCCTTCTGCAGGAAGCCCTTCCCCATGGTGCTTTCTCCTCTGAGATTACCTTCTGTCCGCTCTGGATATATCACGTATGTATCCCGTCATTTCCATGTCATCTCTCCCATCTGACTGTGAGCTCCTTGAGGTCAAGGACTACAGTTTTTACTTTTCTTCACAATCACAGCATTTGGCACAATGCCTGGCACACAGTAAGTTCTTGATAATAGTTTGTTAACTTACTGACTGTTCCTCATACAGGATATTCCATCTCCTTAGTCTGTCCCCCATACATAAAATGCTCTCCCTTATCTCTTCTATTTCCTGGATTCCTTCAAAATTCATCTCAAGCACCACCTACTGAAAAAGGATTTACCTGGTCCCACCAGTTACTCATACCTTCCTTTCCAAGCTTACCTTGTATCTGATTTGCATATGACTTGTGTGTGTTTACACACGTACATTTTATATGTATGCACGCACATGCTTTATACACACACACACACACACACACACACCCCTATTGTCTCCTTTATCAAGATGTAAACTTCTTGAGGGCAAAGACTATTTTTTGTCTTTATATCCTTTGTCCTTAGCACAGTGTCTGGCATATAGTAAGTGCTTAATAAATGCTTGTGGTCTGATTGGTTTGTAGATATTCCAAGAGGTAGAGGAAAAGCAAGAGCATTCTAGGCCTGGGGGACAGCCTGGATAAAGGCACAGAGGCTGGAAATAGAATGTCATGTTTGTTCAGCTCTATCATAGAATGAAGGAAGAGGAGAAATATAAAAGAGAAGCTAGCACCAGATTGTGAAGGCCTTTCAACTCTGAATAGAGGAGTTTGTAGTTTATCCTAAAGGGAATAGGAAGCCACTGAAGCTTCTTAAGTAAGGAAGAGATATATTCAAATCTGTGGTTTAGAAATAGCAACTGGGGCGGGGGAGGGGGAGGGTAGCTAGATGGCACAGTGGATAGAGCACCGACCCTGGAGTCAGGAAGACCTGAGTTCAAATCCGACCTCAGACACATAACACTCACTAGCTGTGTGACTCTGGGCAAGTCACTTAACCCCACACACACAAAAAAGAGAGAGAGAGAGAAATAGCAACTTGACAACTGTGCAGAAGGTGCTTTAGAGAGAGGATAGACTGGAACAGGGAGATGGATTAGGAGATTCACCCTAATGTGAAAGAAGAATCAAGGAGATTTGGTACCTGATTGTGGGAGAAGGAATGATCAAGGATGAATGGGATGGCAGACCTGAGTGACTGGAAGGATGGTGGTGCGATCAGCAGATGGAGGGAATCTAGGAAGAGAAGCAGGTTTCAGAAGAAAGGTGGAGTTGTGTGCTGACCATGTGGAGTTTGAGATTGCTTCGAGATATCCGGGTAGAGATGTCTAATAGCCAGTTGATGGTACAAGCCTGGAGCTCAGGAGAGAGATGATGGTTGGATATATAGTCCGCACAGAATTGGGCATTGAATCAAAGTGGCTGATGAAGTCACCAAGAGAAAGTGAAGAGAGAGGAGGGCCCAGGACAGAACATTGGGGTATACACACATAGGAGGTGGGATGCAGATACAGCAAGGGAGACTGAGAAGGAGCGGCCAGATAAGTGGAGAACCAGAAGGAATAGCATGGTGAAAACACAGGAAAGACAACCTGGTAAATAGTTTTAAGTGGTGCAGGAAGGTCATAAAAGATAAAGACTGAGAAAATACTCTTGAATTTTGTACTTTAGAGATTATTGGTAACCTTGGAGAAAGCACTTTCACTGAAGTGGTAATGTTGGAAAGCCATTCTACAAGGACTTGAAGAGGTGAAAGTGAAGAAATAGAAGGCGGTAGTGTAGACAGATTTTTCTATGAATTTGACTATGTAAAGGGAGAGAAAAGCATTGAATGAATGCATGAAAAAGCATTTATTAGATGCTTATGTTTAAGCACTATTCCAAGCCCTGGGAATATAAATTTAAAAATCTAAATAGTCTCAACTCTCAGGGAGCTGAAACTCTTAACTGGGGAGTGCAACACGTTTTTTAAAAAGGTCAATTAAAGGACAGATGGAAAGGCCTGGAAATCCTAAGGGTTCAGCAACAGGCAGAGAGCAAGCACCAGAGCTTCTAACATTATGTCACTAGGTCAAATGACAGTGCCTGGCCTCTGCAGGTGAAGCCTGGAAGTCCTCAGGGGGCAGTGACAGGGCAGATGGCAAAGCTTGAGTATTCACAGAACCATTGTAAGCATCTCTTGAAAATGTTTCTTCCTCTTATTCTAGCTGAATCATATTTTCCACATCTGCCATAATGTCTACTTTTCTTTGCAGAGAAATCAACTCCAGCAGCAAAATGATAGTTTGGAGGGATGACAGATTCTAGAGAAGGTTTTTTGTGTTTTGTTTTGTTTTGTTTTCATTAAGAATTGAGGAGATCTGCATGATTGTAGGCAATAGGGAAAGAGCCCATGGGTAAAGAGAGAATAAAGATTAGAGAAAGAAGATGATTGATGGGGAAAGCTCTGAGAAGAGACAGGAGGAGATGAGCTATTTTATAAGCTTGTTTTAAAGTATGCATCATGCCAGGCTTGCATGAGTACTGCTTTTCCAAAAATTTTATCTATTTTATTTTTAATTAAGGAATAAAACAAGCATTTCCACAGCATAGCATAATAAAAAGATAATTGCACATGAAACTGCAAATCTATTATGTACAACTTGCTGTTCCTTTTAAATATATAATAAAGTTATCATGTAAATTTCTTTTTTTTTCCTTTTCTTCTTCCTCCCTGTGCCCCTCCACCTTAGACATTGCTACCATTAGACATAAATATGTTTGTATGTTATCTATATGCAAAATCATTCTGTACCTACTTCTATTTATCAGTTATTTCTCTGGATGCAGATAGCATCTTCCTTCATATGTCCTTTGTAATTAATTTGGATATTTATAATAGTCAAAATAAATTATTTGCTCAAAGTTGTTCTTAAAACAATATTGTTGTTACCGTATTCAACATTCTCTTGGTTCTGTTCATTTTGCTCTTTATCATTTCATGTAAGTAAGTCCATATTTTTCTAAGCTCATTGAGCTCATCATTTCTTTTTCTTTTTTTCTTTTTAATAGTATTTTATTTTTTCCAATTACATGTAACGATAGTTTTCAACATTATTTTTGTAAGACTTTGAGTTCCAAATTATTCTCTCTCCCTCCCTCCCCCCTTCCTTCCCCAAGTCAGCAAGCAAGCTGATATAGGTTATACACGTATAATCATATCGAACATATTTCCACATTGGTCGTGTTGTGAAAGAAGAATCAGAACAAATGAGAAAAACCATGAGAAAGAAAAAACAACAACAAAAAAGTGAAAATAGTATGCTTCCATCTGCATTCAGACTCTATAGTTCTTTCTTTGGATGTGGATAGCATTTTCCGTCATGGAGTTCATCATTTCTTATAGCACAGTAGTAATCCATCACAATCATATGTCATGACTTGTTCAGCCATTCCCCAATTGCAGGCATCTCTACAATTTAGCTTTTTTATTTATCACATATAGATACAACTAGTCACCTGACCTTCCTCCTTCCAGTACCACTGTTTCTTCTTGCTCTGCTTCTGACTTCCACACCATATTTCTACACTGGTAACTTCATCCCCCTCCGCTTTTTGTGTGTGGTGTTTCCCCATTAAAATAGTCATGGTCATTGTCCTTTGTACTGCAAGAAGACCAAGATGACATCACAGTGTTGGTTGGGGTCAAAGTGTAATGTGTCAGACAGTGGCTGATCAGAACAATATGAGCTTGGAGACTCTGCCCCAAGTCGGACCCAAATAATCCATTTGAACATTTGAACTGGAGATGTCTCTAAATTTGTGCATCTCGTGTTTCTTTTGACCTATTGCAATTCTTCTTTGCTCACAGGGCACAGGACATCAGTTCTTTGATGGGAGCGCACCATGCTGGGCAGTCTTGTGCCAGTGTCTCCCATGTCCCACAATCAATAACAAAATTCTTCAGAGACACTTTGAGAGTGTCTTTGTATTGCTTCTTTTGACCTCCGTGTGAACAGTTACCTTGTTTGAGTTCTCTGTAAAATAGTCTTTTAGTCAAATATAGGTTTGACATTCGAATGATGTGGCCAGCATATCAGAGTTGCATGATCTCTGCAGTAGAGTTTGAATGCTTAGCAGTTTAGCTCAAGAGAAGGCTTCAGCATCCAGAACCTTATCTTGCCAAGTGATCGGCAGAATCTTCTTAGGACAATTCAAATGGAAGGGGTTCAATTTTCTGGCATGGCGCTGCTATGAAACCTGGACAGTCTACCAGTGCCATGCTAGAAAATTGACCACTTCCCATTAGAATCTTAAAGGGCAGGGACTGTCTTTCTTTTTGCTTTTATTTGTATATCCAACACTTAACACAGTTCATGGCACAGAGTAAGCACTTAACAAAGCTTGTTGCCTTGCTTTGCCTTTCATTCTGTAAAATGGGTATCCTAATAGTTTCACTGCCTACCTCACAGGGCTGTTGTGAGGACAACATTTTACAACCCTAAAGTCACACAGAAATGTAAGTTATCATTGAACCACACCCAGTGTACTGATGCCAACAATTTTTTTTTCATCTTGTTTTCCTTGCAGGTCTCTAAGGCTGCAGCAGACCTACTGGCATACTGTGATGCCCACATCCGAGAAGACCCCCTTATCATACCAGTGCCTGCATCAGAAAACCCCTTCAGAGAGAAAAAGTTCTTTTGTACCATTCTCTGAGTCCATTTGTAATGCAAGTGTCCCCTTTTCTGTCTGTGAAAACCTCCCATAGAAATTCTGCATGCTTTTAGCATTAGAGGATAATAGAGAAGATTATTACTCTTCTTGCTGCCTAATTCAAAATGGCCTAGGGTGCTGTGCTTTTTAAATTGACTTATTAAAGAAGCAGTGTACATTTTTACAACAAATGATACATGTGCCAAGTAGAATTAAACATGGGGCTAGGGGTTGGGTTTTTTTTTTTTAATCATTATGAAGCCCAACGTTAAAATGCATTAAGTTAATTCATTTCAGTGAATATACTTATTGGGGATGAGCACTGTTTTTTCATGGAGGAAAGAAAATTGCAGCCAAGAATCTTCATTATGTATCCAATTAAAGACCTTTTGACCAACTGTACCATTTTTATTTCCTTTCCTGGAGAGAATGTAAGTCCTGGCTAATCTAGAGTGTCTCTATTTCTTACTTTCCCATCCTCCTCTTTGAGAGAGAAGAGAGACGAGGATTGACTTGTTCTCCCTCATTTGCACCCCGTGGAGGCTCGGTGCCTCTCTGATGTACACATCCTATGTGGAGCGACCTTTGTCTTTCCTGTAGCACTGCCTGCTGTTAGTTGTTCTGTAAATGCCCTTTCTGCAACTGTGGAATGTTGAGTGAACACTAGAGTAAATTTGACTATAAATCCAAGCTGTGGCTCTGCTGTCTGTTTTTTTATCGACCTGACTGCCCAGGGTTCTTTTCCCTCAGCAGTCATACAACTAGATATAGGAAGCTATGGAAACTGTGTTTCATCCCCATCTATCACCTTCCTCCTACTCTAGGCTAGTGAGAATGATATTCTTGCATATCCAAAGGTCAGTTATGCCAGGTCATCAGCATTTATCAAATGTCCATCCTGGGCAAAGCACTAGACAAGAAGATATGGCCCAGCCTGCCCTTGAGGAGGTAGGAATCTAGTTGGAGAAAGATAGGTTTAAAAAATATACAAATAGTAGGTGCTTAATAAATGTTTATTGACTGACAAATTTAATAGTCTGCAGTGAAACCAACACTTGTCTTGCCACCTTCCCACCATTACCAGAATTAGGAGGAGGCTAGCCCCCCACAACTTACCTGTTTTACAAAGAAACTTTATATTTCTATAAGGTTAATCTTAACTTCAAAACCTTGATTAGACTAAATCTCTTAGAGCTCCTCCAGCTCCAGGGGTGGGGAACCTGCCACCTTGAGGGCCCATGTGCTATCCTTGAATTAAACCCGTATAGAATGAGTACTGGATCCAAACCAAAATGGTGCCTGGAGATGAGAATAAACTTTGGGATAAAGAAACATATGTTTTATGTTCTCTTTCAGTCTCTTTGGAGATTGGAATTCTATCCTGGGTTCAGGCACCAGCTTGTTGTAGAGCACTGGACAAATGATTGTTTATCTTATTTTCTCCAATCTAGAAATTTTCCAAAGATACATGATACTTCCTTCCGCAGTGACAAATCACAATATCTCCACACAATTTTGTAGACAATTGTATAGACAATTTTGAAAGGAAGTATGGTAAAGCTGGACTTGGAGTCAGGAAGCCCTGGGTTTGAATTCCGCCTCAGATGCCTCCTGTCTGTGTGACTTCAGTGATTGAGCAAATCACTTCAGTTATGTGAACCTCAATTTCCTCATCTGTAAAATGGGAATAATGATACCTGAAATACTTACTTCAGAGCGGTAAATGCATAGAAAGTTGACCTCAAAGAAGATCCAGGTTCAAGGCATTATTTGTCCTGGCGAAATGACTCTGGACAAGTCACTTTATATCTCAGTGCCCCAGGCAATTCTCTAAGGCTATAAGTTGTAGAACATGTACCAGTATGAATTGGGAGGGAAAGGGGTTTCCTCTTTGGGAGCTCCTCGTGACAGTGAAATCATAGGTCTGGTTCAATATACTTACATCACAAATTCTTATTTAAAGTACCATATAAAAGTCTATCACTATCATCATCATCATCAATCATCATCATCATCATTATTATCTTCATGAATTGCTGTGGCCAAAAAAGAATTTATCACTTGGTGATCAGTCTTCTAGTAATAAGCCTCTCCACACTTAGCCAGGCTATTCCCTGGTGGAAATGCACCACTGCTCACCCTATGCTAGAAATCATTATTGTCTTTCTATGTATACCCATTGCTCGGAACAATACTTGGCACCTACTGAGTGCTAACTAAATATTTGTTGACTGACTGACTTTTCCATCTGCCAGAGCTTGGCCTCTGCTTGGTGGCAAGCATCACTTATGAGCCACAACTGGATGAGGACTTCAGAGAAGGCCAATCTGTAAAATAAGAATGATACCCCCTCCGTTTCCTTTGGTGTATCCTAAAAAGAAACATGTAAGATGGGATTTTTGTTTGGGTGACCAGAAGATGTCACTCTGGAGCACAAGAGAGGCCCATGCTCTCCTCACTTTCCACTCAACCAGAAAAGAGCTGGGCTGAAATCTTCAGTGACCATATCTACCTGATCAGTTGGGAGGCAAGACTGTCTCTTTTGGTCCCTTCTAGCTATCTCCCCCTTCCCTTTGGGTAAAAGGAATGGAGTTTTGCCTTAAGGACTGATGCCAACACTCTCAGGTAAACCATGGCTTACCAGTTTATTCTTTTAGGGTAAATCTAAGTGAACTCCAAGTTCAGGCTTTAGGACTCTACATGGTAGAATTATAGGATTATTAATAAAACCAAACTGTAACTTGATAACCCCTAGGGAGGTCTTTTTGCCTCTGCAACAGAACAGCAGGGTCCTAGTATAGAGAATCTGTGAAATTCAAAACCCCTCAGGACCATCCCTGCCCCCACTCCCATGCACACTCTGATCTCAAAATAACCTCATGCCAGAAGACATTAGGAACCAACTCATTTAGAAAAAGAGAATTAGTCTCACAATCTTCTATCAGCAAGGGGGTAGAAAAAATACAACAGAGTAGGGGCACTGTTTAGTTTAAACAAATAGAGAAATAAGAGAGGAGAGGAGAAAGAAAGCATCCCTCCGGGCTTCATAGCTGAGGTGACGAAAGTCCACAACCTTGCTTACAGCATTCTTCCAAACTGCTTGATGTGGTCTCATTTGCCTGCTGTGGACAATGACACTGACCTCCCCCAGGAGGAGCCCAGTTGCTTTCCATGCCACTGAATGGTCTCTGCTCTGCTCTCCATGGACATGGCTGCTGTTTCTGCCTTTTCTCCTGATCTCTTCCCCCATTCAAACTCCATGTGCTGCCAGATCTCATACTTGCCAAATCCAATCACATGCAGTGTTACCTCAGTCCAGGGAAATTTAAAATCCCAGAAGTCTACATAGGTTCTGGTCACTCCTACCTACAAAAGAGGCAGAATCTGTCCCCTGTCTCACAAGGGCCATTACATGCTTCCCTAGGGTTTGGAACTTTGCAGTCCCTTACAAAATCAGGTACAATAGAGTTGGCATTAGTGATCATACAACACAGAGTCAGTGTATAACAAAACAAAACACATCAGTGTATAACAAAAAAATGATTAACCCAGTGTCTCAGGTAATCATTCCAATTCACTATGCACAATAAAATACAACAACCTAATCTGAACCAAACCACTACCCTTTAAGAGGGTTACTACATTTAAATAAATTCAAATGTATTCATTGTATGAGAATAATAAAGGGAAACTAGATATCATCAAAGATCATTTAATTTGGCTGGAGGAACAATGTAAAATTCCTTACAAAGAAGCATTTCACAGTGACTAGCATATAGTAGGCACTTAATAAATGTTTATTGATTGACTGATTTTTGATAGACTAAAGACTTGATAGCTTTTAAATGACTCCAAGTCACCTTGGTGTTTTGGTTCTGTTATTGAAAGTTCTTTTAGTTCTAAAGTCCCATTAGGGTGTACTCACAATATCAATGTTAGGCAACTGAGAGTGCTTTACTTGTCGAGCAAATACAGATAAATTACCTACTGTGTATGATAAAGTAACTCCGAAGTTCAGTTTATCTTAAATCCTTTGGGATTTATGGCCAGGTATCTTTACTCTGTTGTCCCTGACAACATAATTGACCTGAAAAAGCTGCAATACACAAACTTTATTAAGACAAAATGGCAGAGGATGTGGTGGGACAGAGGGACCTTTAGAGTGGAACATCCTTCATTTGCTCCATTGAAATCTGAACAAAATCAAGGCAAAAATAACCAAAACAAAACAAAAAACAAAAATACGGCATACCCCTCCTACCCTCATTCCCTTTGGTTATTCATCCCCAAGCTTCTTATGGGCAGCTAAGTAGCACAGTGGATAGAATGCTGGCCCTGGAGTCAGGAAGATCTGAGTTCAAGTATGGCCTCAGACACTTACTAGCTGTCTAGTAAGTCACTTATCCCTGTTTGTCTCAGTTTCCTCATCTGTAAAATGATCTGGAAAAGGAAATGCCGAACTATTCCAATATCTTTGCCAAGAAAACCCCAAATGGGGTCATGAAAAGTCAACTGAACAACAAATTGCTTCCTTCTCCCACCCCTTACTTTTTCCTAGTTCCCTTTTGTTTCTTCTGTAACAACTAGGTTTTTGTTGTGGTTTGGTTTTTTTGACTAGGTAAAAGAAACCATTCTTTGTCTCCTTTTTTTTTTTTTTTTTTTTTTTTTTAGGCAATTGGGGTTAAGTGACTTGCCCAGGGTCACACAACTAGTAAGTGTCAAGTGTTTGGTCTGAAGCTGGATTTGAACTCAGGTCATCCTGACTTCAGGGCCAGTGGTCTATCCACTGTGCCACCTAGCTGCCTCTTTTTGTCCACTTTCTTACCTAGCCTTAATCTCCGAATGGGTATTGCCTCGGTCAAACTAAGAACTGTTAAAGACTTTAGTATAAAAAGGCCAAGGTCTCCCACTGCATCAGGACCATCTCCAGTCATCCTGATCTATATCTGGCCACTGGACCCAGATGACTCCAGAGGAGAGTGAGGCTGGTGACTTTCTACAGCCTTGCCTCACTTAATCCAATTCAGTTGCTAGTCATAACATCACCTTCCCACTGTCATTGGTCCTCTTTGAGAACAAAGGACAAACAACAATAACAACAACTAAGTTCAAATCTGCCCTCAGACACTACATGTGTGGCTTTGACCAAGTCACTTAACCTTAGTCTGCCTGAATTTCCTCATTTTTAAAATGAGGATAATAATAACATCTACTTTACAGGGTTGTTGTG